TTTCCCAAGGACACAGCGTCGGACCGAGCTGAGGCTCGAACCCCCGAACCCGCAATCTCATGATTACGAGTCCGGCAACCTAACCACAAGGCCACTGATGCCACTTATCCAACTTAGCACACGCCACTCCTGACAAGCAGAGACGAAGCAGCCGGCCTCCGAGAGGATCTAAATTATGTCAAAGTGGACGCAACTGATGTTTATTACTTTGAAAATAAGAATGATAAGAGGGTTCACAATAAAATGACGTTATCAATGTTATTAGATGCTATTAGCGTTCTTAATCTAAGGTTTTGTATGTCCTTCTACCGTATTTTGACAGTACAAGCAATTTAATGTACAGGCTTAAAGCATCTACAAGTGGTCGCTGTTAAGCACAAGGGGGCTATCCCTAAAAAAGCTGTTTTGAGAAAATCGAAGTAAAGTTTTTGCCCCTTGTTCAGTTTCTTTAAAAGACAGGGATAGCTTTCTCAAAAAACAAACAAATGTACACACCAATGAAACTAAACTTCTCCTACGAGTAAGGCAATGCACATTTTGGGTGTAGGCCAAGATTTCTGGACACCCCTGAAATTTGGGTTATCCCGCTTGTCTTTAAAAGCGACCAATTAGAATTTTCAACTTTAAAGGAAAGATCTGAATGCAATGACACCATTAATGCTATCAGTGTACTTCACCTTACGTTTCTGGATTTCCCCTCCACCATGAAGATTAATAATTTGACAGCACAAGTGACTTAAACTGCATCGGTGGGGGGTTAAAACATCAGCAATTAAAATGAATGAAAGTGCACTAAAATTGCCATCATATTAATTGTTATTAGTAGTAGTATACGTGTATACAATTCATCTAATTTCTCTTGGTACGTCCCTCTTCCATTCGACAGTTCTGACAGATTTCAAAGACAAACGGGAAGCAGAAGAACCATCAGCCTTCATGACCCGCCTTCGCAGACAAGTTGCGCAGATGCACGTCTGGCGTGCCGTCAACCACGACCGTAACCACGGCACTGGCTCCGGCCGTCACGGCCGCTTCCTCATTCGTAACCGATACCGATACGGTGGCGGTCATCTCTCCGACGCGTAAATTGATCCAAAACAACTACATCGACGATGACTTCAACAACAACAACAACAACAACAACAACAGCAACAACAACAACTACAACAATAACAACAAAACTATCACAACAACTACTAACCCCACCCCCCACCCCACCCCACCCTCACCCCCGCAAAAAAATCACCACAACCACAAATAGCAGCAGCAGCAGCAACAGCAAGAGTATAAACGGGTCATAAGGGTTGAGAGACTAAAACTCGACAAAGTGTTCGATCTCCCCCCCACCCCTCCCAACTCCTCTCCCAATAAAAAATCAACAGCAAAGAGTCTGAATGGGGCTTAAAAGAACAAAGGAAAAAAAACAGTGATGAAAAGTGTTTCGACATCAACTGCAGATTGCTTGTAATGTACAAATAGCTCGTGACTGTTGCACTAAATTAAATAAGCTAAAATGGTTAAAACATGCAAAGATAAGATATTAATTGATAATGAAGCACTTCAAATGGTTCTAGTAATTCCAAAATGTGATGTCACCGAATGTTAAACCAGGATCGGGGTAAAGGGAGGCTTGGGTAGGGGTGAGCCCGTTAGATTAGCTATCACATAATATAGATAGATAAATTATAAGATTAGCACCATTTCCTGTGCCGGTTTCCAGTCGAATTTATCCAGTTCATTGTGTGTGCTGTGATGCGTCACAAATAAATAAAATACTTGTCTTTCCAAAACCCTTCTTGTTCGAAATGCTTTTTTTCTTCTTCCTTTTCGTCGTTACCTCTACGTGTAGTATGTGAACTTGTCCAGCTGGTGTCTATGTTGTAGCAGGCGCTTTGCTGTCGCATGCAAAAGACCTGAGTTCCCGCCCTGTGTGGGGAGAAATAAATTGTATCGAGTATTTCGGTATTTCTGCTGGAATGTTGTATCCCTCTTACTCTTAGCCCATGTTGGCCCTTGTTCTCGTTCTTGTTCTCGTTCTCGTTCTTGTTCTCGTTCTTGTTCTCGTTCTTGTTCTTGTTCTCGTTCTTGTTCTCGTTCTTGTTCTTGTTCTCCTTCTTGTTCTCGTTCTTGCTCTTGTTCTCGTTCTCGTTCTCGTTCTCGTTCTCGTTCTCGTTTTCGTTGTCCTCCCCCTCCTCCTACTACAAATTTACTTGAATTTACTTGAATGCAGAATTGGAGTCTTAGTACGACGGAGTGCTCCATGCTTCCTCACCCCTCTTCATGAGGGTCCAATTCAGTGTGGGCAGGCTGATTGTCTCCATCATCAGCTGGTTGGTGTAGCGTCTGATGTGGTCACGCAACCTGCTCCTCCTACCTTCACCAGTCTTCGCTCCTTTCGCAATCACAACCTCCTTTCCTACTACAAATGCCAATTCTGAACAGACATAGCCACTCATGATTGGCCACCATTTCGCTCCTCGATACTATTAGTATTAGCCGGGTTTTTCCCTATCATCCATTTGTGCAATTTCCCTAAAGGTTATTCTTAGTCTACCACTTTTGCCTTGATAGATAAAAGAAGTTGCAAAGAGAAGTAAAGCTGGCAGACAATACAGTGCAATAATTCGTTACCACAAAGGGATGCTGTTTTGCCTTTGAAATGAAGAAGTCATGGTACGGTTTGATTTTCACACCCTCTTTAATACGGTAACGTTACTAAACAAACAGGATCTCCCAATCTAAGTCAACCTCTAAGTTAAACACACACACACACACACACACACACACACACACACACACACACACACACACACACACACACACACACACACACACACACACACACCAAAAAGCTGTAGGACCTAGACAACTCCCCATGCAACCAAAGTGGGGTCGAACGAACTTTCGTCTTTTGCATAGCCCAGCAAGACTCCAACAAATTTGACAATGGGTACAGACGTGAAGGACTTGAATCACCCTCTTAAATTTGTCAACTTTGAATTGTTTAAAGATTTGAAATTGGCGCTCCTTTGACCTTATGCAGTTGCGAGCACCGTAAAACCTCTACTAAAACGAAAAAAAAAAGATTTGAACTTGCAGCCTTCATCAACTGGTGGCCGGTCTCTTATTGGTTAAATTGGTTGTAAATAGTACTGACATCGCCATTGTAACTAGGTATAAAACTCTCATTATCAGTTGTGTGTCGGTGAAAGCGTAAAACCATCAAAAGTACAACAATTATGATAACTCAATCCGGGACATACAATTACAATTCAGCCCAGCTAAATATTATTCTCTCATGACGTCACACAATTACGCAAGCCACACTAAGGCGCTTATTTTAACTCATACCCAGTACTCATTCCCCGCTTGATTCATCGGATTGAGTCAGGGCCAAACATATGGGAGGTAGCGTGGTGGAATCAGGCTCTCGTCAAAATAATCAAACTGAAGAAACAGGCATTTTCCAGCAGATTTGTGAATTTTTATTGAATTTTTGTTTTCTGGCTCAACACCTTGTATGCCTTTTAAAGAACACATTTCTGTGTGGCTTTTACTGAAAAACATTGATTAATGGCATAAAAATTTAAATATTCGGTTACCAAAGACTCTTAAGCTAAGGAAAGAACTCACCTTTGGCTGCAATTTTCTCACTAATTTTACCTCTGAAACCAGGTGACCCCACCTCCTTCAAATGCAAATATCTCGACTTCTATTCAACAAAGATGAATATTTCTTTTATCAAATGGAAAGCAATGAACAAGCTTTAAGATGATACTAATAACTTTACATGCCCAAAAATTGACGAGAGACTGATTCCACCACGCTGCCTCACATATTTTTCTTCATGGCCGTTTTGGCCCAATACGACACGACTGTTTTCGACCATCCACCTTGAAAAACAATAAAGCGTTTGATATTTAATGTCGCAGTCGAATTGGGTAGTCAGTCATATTATGCCCAAAAACATCTTTGCTTTTGCAACATCAGAGGCTGCAGGTGATACAGCATTCCAGACAGAAGACAGACGGAAATGTTCGATAAAACTACAACAAATTTGCCTTCCCACTCGGGAATCAAACCCACGTCTTCTGCATGCAACGAGGAGGAGTCAAACAGTTACGGCAGGAGGTATAAGAATTGTAGGTAAGTTTTGGGTTTTTTAATAAATATGTACATACAGGGTGCATAAAGGTTTTGAATTTTCAGTTTGTCACCCAAAAAAAAAAAAAAACAGAAGAGAAAACATAGAGTGTAAAAAATTCTGATCAGTAAGAATTTCACAAAGAGTGACCAGCTGACTTGACGCCCATCTTTAATGGGACAAAAATGGAGCTTTTTAACTCAAACATACACCGTTGGGTATTTGAACCATGGCCACAATGATGGCATTTATATGTGTCACAACGCGGTAGAAACGGGCACTCGTCAATGTTTTGGGCTTCTGGGATTATAAGAAACAAGCTGGGCCCCCTTTCGATGAAAGGAATGATCGGTGCATTAACATCAACTGAAAGTCATTGACTTATTATATTTACGCTCTACTGGAATGGAGCAATAAATCTTGAGAAAAAAGTGACACATGTGTTTCCAAGTTGCCAAATATATAACAGACAAAGGAGTCCAGAAAAAGCAATGATGGGCTTCAAACGAAAGGATCACAGTCGAATTTAGCACCCAAAAAAAAAAAACCCATGAGGCTAGATCTATTCGGGTTGCACACTTAAAATAATGTTTAGTACTGCGTGACAAAGCGCGATAGTATCGAACGGAAGTACGACTTGAAATAAACAAACCTGGCGGATTTTCTAAAATTGCAGAGACAGAAGCGTCGGCCTACAAAAGCGATCGGCGAAATATAAAAATTTAGCTTTTCGCAGTAAAACTGTGTCAAATCTGAAAAAACGAAGGGCGTCATGATCAGGAGAATATTTTAAAGAATCTTTTGGCGAAAACCGCGTGTCGATCGTG